CCCCCTGCCCCTCCCTTCTTGCTCAAAAAGCACACAGGAAAATGATTTTAGCAGCGGGATAATGACAGAAAATGTGTTAGCTCAAACGAACTGCAAATATTGTAGACTTTGTATTATTCTCCAGGACCACCAAAGTGGAAAGAAGAGTGGAATAAACCTCAGCAGACACCAAACTGGAGACCTCACAGTCACTTTCTGTGCTTGCTCTGACAATCTCAAAGAGAAGCAATCTCAACATTTGAGCGTGGATTTTAGTGGGAGGGCGGGAACCCATTGGAGTTCCTATCTGACGCATGCGCATGGGTTTAAAGGTAGAGGGCTGCAGGGGTTGCTTGTTAAAGGCAAGGGACAGGGGGGTTCTGAAGGGGGCAACTCATACCAGTGGTCCAGGTTGGAATGGAGAGACTGGAGGACTCCACTCTTACTTTCCCTTGACTGGACTTGTCTTACACTTGCTAGATTTATTTCTTCATTTGGCTTGAACACCTCCTAGTAGCTTCCTAGAGAAGGATTCATGGAGATACAGTGTCTCCATTTTTGCAAGTCTCAATATTCCATTATTCTGCTCTCATCACCATTGGTAGTTTGGTTATAGAGTTCTGGGCTGAGAATTAGAATCCCGAAGGCATTTCTGCTACCATATTGCTACTCAAAATGGGGTCCAGGGACCACTGTCAATCTGCAAACTATTTGTCACCCATCTGTGAGGAGATGGTACAGAAATTGAAAGTAAGCATTTCCAAACTTTTATACTAATTTGACTGTATCATTGTTATGTCTTTTGAAGCTGATAATAAAATGTGGGCTTTCAATTTATGTCTTTTTTTAATTTCATTTTTTCTAGTAATTCTTTTGCACTCTATTTCATAAGAGTAGCAGTCAGTGATAGACTGGAAACAAAGTGAAGTCCTTCACCTCCTACTTTGAGAAGCACTGTTCTAGAATACCGTGTTCTTGAGAGTCCTTTGCCAGTCTGATCTTGGTATTTTGTAAGCAGCTTGTTTTTTTTTCTCTGCAGTGTTTAGGGTTTTCTGTATTCCTAGAGTTCAGAACTTGACTATGAGAAGTCTTAGTGTGGACATTCATTGTGCTGGGCCCACAATGTGTCCTTCAACCTGGAGACTCATTTATTCATTCATATACGTTCCTTCTTTTTTACTCTCTTCGATTTTTCTGGAATTCTTGTTAGCTGGATATTGGGTCTCCTGCTTCATAGGTTGAATCTTTTATTTTGTTCCCATGTTTTCAGTCTCTTTTTGTTTTACTTCTTGTAAGAGTCTTCAACTTGATCTTCCAACTATTTCATCTGCGTATGTAGGCTATCACTTATCACTTATATATACTATCATATTTTTAATTTTAAAAGCTCTTTATTGTTTGATTACCTCTTTTTTTTAAAATAAAATTCTTTTGTAGGCAAGTGTTTTCTGTTTTTGTTTTTTGGGAAAAACTGACTAGATATACTTTGCTTTGCTAAGTCTGCTTCCTGTGTTTATTGTTATGAAACAGAATTCATCTGGCTCTAGCAGAGCCAAACACTAACCACCAAGAATTGCAGTGGAAAATTTTGGCTATTTTATTATGAATGGTGCCACCCAGGAGAAGGGGAAGCTAATACTCAAAGGCCCAAACTCTGATGGCATATAGGTTACAGATTATTTAGGGCAAAATCACAAGACACCGTGGGTTATGGGTTTTAATTTGTGCTGGGAGCTGATGGGTTGGAGGTGAGGTAAGGGTGAGAAATCATTTCTTCAGGTCTTGAGGACAGCTCTGAGGTCTTGTCTGGCGTCCTTCTGTCTGGTTTCATGGCTTCAGGGGGTCATTCCACCCTAGGGCTCAGGAGCGGAAACATAATTTAGGTCAAGATGTAATCTTCAGCCTGCCAGAGGTGCAGGCCTTGTGATCATTAGTCAGGTTGGCTACTGTCTTTTGCTGCCTCGGGGGTTGCTGATTATCCAGGGAAAGTCTAGTCCTCCCAGGGAGTGGGGGGGTGGGGGGGGATGATTTCTAGAGCTAGTTTAAAGCTAAATTTTATCAGTTATAAGGACACTCTCTTTCAATGTTTCCTTTTTTCTAAGGATTGAATTGAGCTTCTCTTTACATTGATAATTCTTGTCAAGGATCTTGGTTGTTCATTCATATCTAACAATAAGGCAGAATTAAAGGGCTGCTGGATAGCTCTGTGTATGAGTGTGGATATGGGGTTGTCAGTTGGAAGACTTGGGAGGCTAGCCCTGGGAAACACCCAAATATCAGTATGTAACAGACTTTTCTTTGAGACTGTTCAGATCTCTAGAGAAGAATTTCCCGATCTCCTCCCTGGGGAAGGGTGGGGATAGGTGAGGGTGATGGAGGGATCCACCTGCTGGTGTTCTGCATACCTGGTAAAAGAAGGACTAGAGGTTCCAGGTTCAGATGGAGATGGTCTGCAGTTCTGCACTGCCCCTGCCCTTCTTCACGGCCGTGTTGATCAAGTCTGGAGCTTCCTCAAGGTTCCGGAGGGCAAACTGGCAATCTTTTTGCCTCGGTCTGCTCTCTAAACATTTCAATTTGTGCCTTTCTCTGCCCTGCTACATCATCCATCACTCTTCCACTAATTTTTCCTCTTCCAAAACTTACCGAAATCTCTCATCCACTCATTTCCCTTTCCCATCCTAAACTTTTAGAGTTAACTTATGCACGGCTAAATATTTGTTCATATTCAATTTATTTTCATTAGTTTCAACCCACTTTGGACTTCATTTTGTGATGCATAGGATGATAGTCGTGCCTTCCACGTCTTCATACAACTTGCTGATAAGAATGCTGAAAAAGATAGGATCAAGGAGAGAGAGCCCAGGGGCGTGTTCCTAAAGACCTCCATTGCTGTAGACAGACACTATGTCTGTCTTGTTTATGTGTTGACCCTATCCCGGGCATGACAACTTAGTTGTTGTATACATTTGTTGAGTGTAATCATCATATCAAAGACAGAAATGAGGATGATCCTGTGAAATTCGTCCCTAGCAGTCCATGCTGGTCATACTGCTTACCACTTTCTTCTTGCTCAGGAAATGTGATTGTTTAATCATCCCTTACAGGACTTTTCTCGGAACTGATATTCAATTCATGGGTTGTGGCTTTCAAAAGATGCTTGGTTACCTTTTCTGAAGAGAAGAACACTGCCCCTTCTGGCTCCTCCCCTGGTCTCACCAGTCCCAATTTATTACAACACTGGTACTGGAGATGCTTCCTACCTTGGGTTTATTGGTGTGGGTGGCCCACACCTCTCATTTAAAATAGCTTAAGCCCTGGCTGGTTTGGCTTAGCAGTTAGAGCCTCGGCCTGCGGACCAGGAAGTCCTGGGTTCGATTCTGGCCAAGGGCACGTACTTTGGTTGCCAATCATCCCTGGCCCTGCTTGGGGTCATGCGGGTGGCAACCAGATTAAATAGCTTAAGACACCCTGGCTGGTTTGGCTCAGTGGTTAGAGTGTCAGCCTGCTGACCAAAGGGTCGCGGGTTCGTTTCCAGTCAAGGGCATGTACCTCAGTTGCGGTTCGATGTCTGGCCCTGGCTGTGGTCGTGCGGGAGGCAACCAACTGATGTGTCTCTCTCACATCAATGTTTCTCTCTCTCTCTCCTTCCCTCCCTCTCTCCCACTCTATCTGAAAATTAATGGAAAAATGTCCTTGAAAGAGGATAAAAAAAATATAACAAAATAAAATGGCTTAAGACTGTCTTACTAGTTCTCTGCCTTGTGCTTCAATGTCTTCCCAAATACGTCTATGCTTCCTAGTTTGAAGATGATTGTCCTTGACAGAGCTAAAGGAGTTAAGTAGTTTTTCTTTTCTTTTTTTTTTTCATTTGTGAACATGGCCCCGAAGCACTCAGCTATCCTTCTGTGTCTAAGCATTGGCTTTAAGAAAAGGAGATGTGAAGAAAACCTGTGGTCAGGTGCCTAAAATCTTACTACTGCATCAGTCTATTTTACTTTAGTCTGTTTTCCAGTGGCTCCAAAGGAAAGAGGTGTGTTTTCCTTGTAGGGGGTCCTGTTTCATCTAAGATTTTTTGGAACACCTTCAGGTCTAGCCACCACTGTTTGTTTGTCTGCTTCTTTGCTTAGTGTGTTCTCCTCTGTCAAACGTAGACTCTGGGGACTGGATTTGCTGTCCTATTTCTGATTCACAATGCTTCAGCCAGAGCCTGGCTCACTAAAGGACTGTAACATACATTTATTGAGGATCTTCATAGCAAGGGTTTGAAAACTATGGCCCATGGGTCTGATCTACCTTTCCATCTATTTTATTTATTTATTTATTTATTTATTTATTTATTTATTTATTTATTTATTTATTTATTTACTTTGGTATGTGCCCCTAGTGGGAACCGAACCTGGGACTCTCTGGTCGGCAGACCAATGCTCCAACCGCTGAGCCAAACCGGCCAGGGCACGTCTATTTGTAGAAATAACGTTTTTTTTAGAATACCACCTTGCTCATTCCTTTCCATATTATCTAGGGCCGCTTTCACCCAACAATGGCTGAACTGAGTAGCTGAGACAGACTGTATGGACTGCAAAGCTAAACATTTTTACTGTCTGGCCCTTTAGAGACCAGTTGGCCGACTGCTGCTCTGCAGAGAAGACTCCCTACATCGTGCCAGACCCTTTTTCATGGGAGATGTTGCTAGGATGGCAAGATGCTTTGTTGCTTCCCAGGTCAGAGGCCTCTTTCATGCCAGTGTTTTTAGATAAGGGACTAAATCTTCCTGTCCATGAAATTGTTGACCTTGGCAACCCTCTTAATTCAGGTGGAAAACTGCTTTGACCTGAACTATCCAGAGAACAGAGATCAATGTGTTTTCTCTAATTGTTAATTATCAGGATGACACATGGTATGAGCCACTCTGCCTGTCTGTCTTTTTATCTAAAAGAAGGGTTTAGCAACACGCCTTGGTGGCATGAAAGATAGACTTCAACTGTAAGATTTTATTATTTTTATTATTTCCCTTTGCTTAGATCTCTAGAAGAATCATGATGTTTCCAAGGCAACACATGGCTTGGGGAAATTGGAGAGAATAGTCTTGACGCAAAGGGATAACATCCCAGCTACCGCAACACTGCTATTCAGCACGCAAACGTCAGATGTTCAGAGGGACCCAGTCATCTTGATTGGAATTGAGGTGACGTGAGTTTCAAAGTGGAATCATCGTGCTCATGTTCAGTAAATTTGCAAACCTTCCTTATAGTGCAGTGGGAAAAGGAATGTGCTTAAAACAATGCTGGGGTTGGGCCCCGGGGCTTATTCGGGTATGAGGATGATTGTCAGGGAGCATGCTATTACCTGGCCAGGATAAAGTAGATGCTTCTGAATCTCTCTGTTGTACATGTGTATGGGGAACACAAGTTTCCTTTTCTTATCCACCCCAAATATTTGGAGCTATCCACATGGCCAGATCATTTTCCCTGAGATGACAATCATTTCTTTAGAAAGAAATCTTAAAAATTTTTATCATAAGAAAATCATTGTATTGTAGAAAAACCAAAGCATAGAATTACTTAAAAATAAGAAAGTAAAAACTCAAACCACTACTTTGAGATAACCATTGTTAACATTTTATTATAAATCCCTCCAGACTTTTCTTATGGACTAAAAAATTATATTTATCTCAACCATGGGAAAATACACTGCACACACTGTTCTATAACCCAATTTCTTTTTAACTGAATAGTATGTCGTGAAAATTTTCAGAGTCTGCTGGACTCAGGATAGTGTGGTATCTGCGTCCTGTGCCCTGCCAGCCTTGTGTGACATACTGATGCCATCAGTTACTGCTTTATGACCTTGGGCAAATGATATAACCTCTCTGGTTCCTCAGTTTCCTCATCTGTAACATGGGCATAATAGTGATGGAATCCACTACATGGGGTTGTTGTGAGGATTAAACATGTTAATACAAAACAGTTCAAAATACAGTGCCCAGCACATGGGAACCTCTCATTAAATGTTAGCTATTATATTCCCATGTCAATACATGTATTTCCACATCATAATTTTATTGCATGCCTGTGACACCACTGCCAGGTGGTGAGCACTCTCTTGCTTTTCCTTTGGTTGTGTGTATATGTTCTTCAGTGCTGGGTGAGATTTGATGCTGTGATTTTATCCACCATGGAGTTGGAGCTGTACGGTGCATTGGAGCAGAGAGTACTGAGGAAGGTGAGCCCTCCGACTGGAGGGGGCCTGACAATGTTAGTGGGAAGGGAGAGGGGAAGGCGGACGTCTTTGTAGCCACGGTGCCCAGTAGATAAGGGCTGATGCGGGGACTGTGCGTGAGCTTCATGGTGCGGGGTCTTGCATATACTACTTTCTGAGTTTCAGAAGTAAGCTACTTAACCTCTCTCTGTCTTGATTTTCACATCTGTAGAATTAAAACTTTGTTAGTGTTTGTCTCCTTGGGTCCTAGTGAGTGCTGCAATAGATCACTGATGTGGAGTTTGGTGCTTCCTCCGTATTTGGCAACCTCTTAGTACATATTAAATACTGTTGTTAGAAACATGCTGCCTTGCTATTCAGAGATATGTATTACACACTCACACACAGTTTGTCTATGAAATAAGTGATACCTCGGTTCTCGAACGCCTCGGATTTCGACCAAATCGGTATTCGACCAGGAGATTCGAGAAACTTTTGTCTTGGAATCCGAACAAATATTTGGAACTGGAACTTCCGCGATGAGCCGAGTTGAGCCGAATGGCGTTCATTCGGCCCAGCGCGCCTTGCTTGCGTCATCAGTGTGAGTGCAGAGAGAGTCACGCTTTGTGGAGAGAGTCACGCTTTACACTGAATTTAACCCTTAGACATACTGTACACTTTTATTTCTTGTTGAGACTTATGTTTTTCTACATATTATATACAAATTAGGCCAGTAAATAGGCATTTTCTGGGGCTTGGAACGAATTAATCCAGTTTCCATTATTTCCTATTGGGTCATTGCTTCGGTTCTCGAACAATTTGGTTCTCGACCGTCCTCCTGGAACGAATTATGTTCGAGAACCGAGGTATCACTGTAGTCATTTGGTAAATTGTAAATTTATACCTCTTCATTATGTTTCTATTGGCTTCTTGCTGGTTATTATACTATTGTGCCTCAAATTCATACCTACGTTTTATACTCTGCTCTGTGATGCTGGGGCTGGGACCCTGCAATCCCCTGTCTCCTTTGCCAGCTGGATCAAAATTGGGCTCCGCCAGTAGGGGGTGCTCTATGGAGATGGGAAGGCAGGAGGAGGGACATGTGCTTCTTCCTGTTTGCTTCCGGTTCTGCCAGCATCACCCCAACTTACCTTCGAAGCTGCAGTTGGTTTCAATAGAGCAGGTAACTCTGGTTTTCGTTTCTCTCACAGCCTCAAAACCAGTCTCCTAGTTCCTCCTTGGAAGCTCCAGCCCCAGCCAGTCGGTGTACATTCCTCAGAGGTCTGGGTTCCGTCTCTGTAAGGACTGCCCTCACCCTCCCAGGTCTGAGCAGCCCCACACTCTTCCCTTGGTTCCTCCAGCCGTGGTTGCCATGGCTGCTTCCTCCAGTCATCTCAGGGAAACCTCAGTATTCCCTACCTTTTCAGTTCTCTAATACCTGGTGAACACTTCCCTCACAGTTTTATGGACATAGTGACATATACTTTTTTTTTTTTATCCTCACCTGAGGACATTTTTGCATTTATCTTCACATAGAGCGGGAGAGAGAGAGATAGGAAGAGAGAGAGAGAGAAACATCAATGTGAGAGAGACACATCCACTGGTTGCCACCCACACGACCCCAACGGGGGCTGGGGACAAACTGCAACCGAGGCACGTGCCCTTAGTGGGAACTGAACCCAGGACTCTCTTGGTCCGCAGGCCGACACTCTAACCGCTGAGCCAAACTGGCCAGGGCATGACATATACTATTATATGACAACATTATTGACAAATAAGTATACAATGTAATGATTATATATGTGTATGTGTGTATGTATTGTATTTGCACTTGTATATACACATGTACATGCACATGTATATGTATATCAGTGGTTAGCACAATAAGTTGTAAACCACTCTTTATACTAAATTATCTTTGTTAAAGTAACTGATGTGGTTTCCGTTTTCTGACGATCTCATCTAATATCACATGCAAACTTCACTTTCCCTAAAAAAGTCATTTGAAAAGGACACATTTGTAAGGGAAGGTGTCAACATTGCTCTGAACAAAGGATGTCTGGTCTGGATCCTGATGCCCGGTGTAGCTTTCTGCAAACACCTGGCCAGCAGACCACCTGGTCCCCCACTGCTCTGGGCCATGGCGGGCATGACTGCTCGGGGGGCCAGGGCTGCCACGAGGTGTGGGGAGCAGGCAGGCAGGGCGAAGGTTCCAATGCTAGTGGCCACATGTGAAAAGCAGAATAATCCTTTACGACAGGCAGAGAGGAGAAGGAAGAGGAAAAGAAGCAAGTCTGGAAGATAAAGCAGGAGAGCTGTGGTGACTATTCAAGTCAAAAAGAAAAGTTTCTGTGAAGGAGGTATTGATTGCAGGATGTCAGGTGGAAAACTGGTCACCAAGGGCCGACAGAGGGTGGGGGTGTGGAGAGGCTGGGGACAGTGGTGGCCTCTCATTTATTTACACGTAATGAAAAAGGCCTGCACAATAGGTTGGTCAACATCACTTTTCTGCTTCATTGGTTTCTAAAAGGACTTACTGCTCCCCTGCTGAGAGATGATTTCCAGGGGCCTGTTTCAGGCCACTCACCACAGCCTCCCTACTCAGTGCTCGGTCCATCTCACTCCCTGTGTCTGTCCCTCTCTGACACACACACACACACACACACACACACACACACACACCTTTATTCACAGGAAGCACTGGAAATCCCCTGGCCTTAGATGGGACACCCCTCCCCCAGAGCAGATCTGACCAGTGGGGCTTCAAGAGAGCAGCGCAGGAGGCCGCCATTGCTCCCTGACCCTTGGCTCTCTGGCTGAGCAGGATGCCTTTATTGAGTTCAAGGAGCCAGGTGGTGCTGCTGATGGGGAAAAGGCAGAGGGGCTTTGGTGAGGGGGAAGAGCTGGATGATTCTCACTACCAGGCTGCCCTGGTAGTTTTATGAATCAAAGCCAAGAAGCTCTTTTTCTTGGCTTGGAAATCAATTCTGGGCTAAAAAAATAACAATATTCTTTACATCTTGGGAAAAGATTTCATAGGAAGAACAAAAGCATCTAGTGCCTCCAGTGATTAGGAAAAACAACTTTAAATTTTGGAATAATTTCAGTTTTTTAGAAGAGTTGCAAAGATAATACACAGAATTTTCATACACTTCCCTAGTTTCCCTATTGTTAACATCTTACAGCACCATGGCACATTCCTCAGATTGATGGCACCATCATTGGCACACTACTGTTGTTAACTGAACTCCGGTCTATATTCAGGTTTCATTTGTTTTTCCACTAATGTCATTTGTTGTTGTTGTTGTTGTTCCAGAAGCTCATCCACATTGCATCTAGTCATCCTGTCTCTTTAGTCTCCTCTGGTCTATGACAGTGTCTCAGTCTGTCCTTGTCTCTGATGACCTTGATAGTTGTGAAGAGTACTGGTCAAGTATTTAACAGAATGTTCCTCAATTTGGGTCTGTCTGATGTCTTTCTCAAGCTAAGACTGGGGCGATGTGTTTTTTAGGAGGAAGACCACTGAGATGAAGTATTCTCATCACTTCCTTTAAAACATTTTTATTGAGCCCTGGCCAGTTTGGCTCAGCAGTTGGAGCATCGGCCTGCGGACTAGAGAGTCCCAGGTTCAGCTTCCACTAGGGGCACATACCAAAAAAACAAAAAATTATAATTAAAATAAAATTTTATTGAGATATAATGAAATATAGCATATTTGTTTCAGGTGTACAGCATAATGATCTGCTATTTATATATATATTGTGAAATGATCACACAATAAGTCTAGTTAACAACTGAAACCATACATAGTTACAAAATTTATTTTTCTTATGATGAGAACTTCTAAGATCTACTCTCTTAATGCAGTATTATTAACTAGAGTCACCGTGCTGTACATTAAACCCCCATGACTTATTTCTTTTATAACTGGAATTTTTACCTGTTGATCCCCTTCACCCATTTTGCCCACCCCGGCCCTCCACCCCTGGTAGCTCATCACATCTACGTGATGTCAGCATGACATCTCAGCGGTTCCACATGAAGGCAACGGACAGGCCCTGAGGAGCCTCCTCCACATGGGCATCTTGATTTGGTTTCCTTCCCTCTGCACATGCAAGACCATGAACTGCTGAACAGAAAGGACCCCACAAAGCTGGGGGCGCATATGGGAAGAGTTCCAGACTAGAAGTCACTTCTGAATTGTGCAATGTTGAGTGAGAGTCTTTAAACCTCTCTGTCCTCAGTTTCCTCATTCACCAATCAGTACGTGATCCCTCCCTCCCCCTTCCTCCCAGGGTTGGCAACGAGATCAAATGACATATTGGATATGAAAAGACTTAAAAACCAATAAAGGACAGACAGAGGAAGGGAGCTGGCCTGCACTGGATATACCAGTATTTCAGGTAAGAGGAGGAAGACTTATCTATTGACTCTGTTAAGAAATAAACGAGTGTGTGTGTGTGTGTGTGTGTGTGTGTGTGTGTATTTTTTAAAAGTAAGATTTAGTGATATATCTTTACATAAAGTTCACCCGTTTTAGGCATAACAGGTCTATAAGTTTAACAACAGAAGGTGATCATGTCATCACCACCACTATCAAGATATAGAACACAGAGAGCATTTCCATTTTTCCCTCCCCCAAGTCCCCCATGCTCCTGTGTCATCAACTCTTTTCCCCCATTCCCAGCCCCTGGCAACTATTGGCATTTTGTGGTCTCCATTTTGCCTTTTCCAGACTGTCATATACATTGAATCATGAAGCATGTAGACTTTATTTTTTTCAGTTTAAAACCAGCACTAGTGAGGTATAATTAACCTACAATATACTGTACATACTTCAAGTGTACACTTGAATAAGTCCTAATAGATTGTACATTTGTGATAGCATCATCACAATCAAGATAGGGCACATAGCCATCACCCTAAAAATGTCCTCATGTTCCCTTGTGATCCTTCTCTCTGTCATCTAGCTTCAACCTCCTGCCCCAGCCTCCTCTCCCCCTGCTCTGGATACACCCGCAGCTCCTTCACTTGCCCTGGTACACGGTGGTCGTTTCTAATCTTGACTTCTCCCTCCTCAAAGCTACCCATTTCATCCTTTGGGTCTGTCCAAATCCTGCCCATCTTTCAAGTCTCTCCTTTAACTCATCCTTTAATGGGACCTTTAAAGTTATCCTTTGAGAATGATCCAGCCCACACTTGTCACTTCTTCTGTGATCTGAATGCACTAATCCGCAGCCATCCATGTCTTCTTTATTTACTAGTACAACAACGTTTGTATCTTACTGTCCTACGGTGAGCTGCCCCGTGGTCCGCAGCATGGCCTCTGATTTTCGATGCTTGGGCTTCTACGTTTTACCTTAGGCTCTGACTTAATCTCGCTATGCCTCAGCTTTCTGTCAGATTGGTAAAATAATATAGTACCTACCAGAAAGGGTGGCGAGGATTAATGAAGTTTATGCACATAAAGTACATGGAAAATAATCTTGTATACAGTGAGCACTTAATAATTGTCGGATCTTGTCATCAGTATCATTATTGTTGAAAGCCCTTAAAGGCAAAGTCTACAGTCCTTACTGCACTCATGTAACTGTGGTGCCCAGCGCAGCGGTAGGCATGTGGAGGGAGCTCCAGTATTTGCTGGATTTTTGACCAGGGACCACTTTGGTGAGTCAAAAGTTCCTGTGACCACTGAACACACCAACTACACACTTGTGTTCTGGTGTTGGACAGAACCAAACCCAAACCAGCTAGACTCCCAAACCAAAAGGCTGTGAGCTTCTGTCTGGGTAAATGTAGCCGTGACATGTCTGTTTCCATGGTTTAGAATGTCACCAGTGGAAATCTACAGGGGAAAATCGAGTTCAATACTGGCATCACATGACTCATTGTGCTTATATTTGGATATGCCACTGGCTCGGGAGTCAGGCAGCCGGACCCACACCTGCGGAGTCTGCCGTAGTGCGGTCTGCAAAGAAGGCAGAGGAGGATTCAAACACTTAGTGGGCATCTACTTCAGCGGTGTTATGTTTTCAGGAGTTTTGTAAGCTAGTTATTAAACACAACCATTATGAAAACGTAAATTATATAGACTCACAACTAAATAAATTTTATTAAAAACAAAGGTAATAGCCCTGGCCAGTTTGGCTCAGCGGTTAGAGCGTCGGCCTGCGGTCCGGAGAGACCCGGGTTCGGTTCCCGCTAAGGGCACGTACTTCGGTTTGCAGTTTGTCCCTGGCCCTGGTTGGTCGTGCGGGTGGCAGCCACTCAATGTGTCCCTTCACATCGATGTTTCTCTCTCTCTCTCCCTTCCTCTCTCTCCCTCCCACTCTATCTGTACAAAAAATGGAAAAATATCCTCGGGTGAGGATAAAAAAAAAAAAAAAAAAAAAACAAAGGTAATAAATACTCAGTTATGCCTACATCGCATATAAGTACTCAACGATTATTTTACTATTATCTGTGCTTTTCAGGTTATTTACATTTATTGTATCTGTGTGGTGAAAATACTATTTAATAGTGTTTCCCATCTCTTCCCATCTATGTTCAGGGATGTCACATTGGTAGCTTGGAACTGACCACGGTAGGTGTATTTATACCACAGATATGGGCAAGCGCTTCAAATCAGGGCTTTTCATTCCCAGAGAGCTGGCTGCTAAGCACACTGCACACCAGGCATGACAGCTGAATGTTTTTGTTTGCAAGAAGCAGAGGCTCACTCAGGTTAGTTCAACTAAAACGAAGAGGGGTTTATGCTAAGGCTTTTTATTGCAAGAAAAGGGAGATAGAATATCATAGAGACTGAAGAACAAGCCCTACTCCAGGGCCTAATGGAGCTGGGAACTGGAGGGTGGTTCTGGATCCAAGGTCACTAGTGTGACCTCGGAACATGGCCTTGGGCTCTGTGCTCTGGTTCACTGCTGTCCTCGTGGTACCTGCTTCCTTCTTTTCCGGTCCCGCCAGCTTTCTTCCCTCTCCCCTGCATCGTCTCTCTGTTCCAGCTCCTGCTCCCTCCATTTCTCCTCTCTGTGGCTTGTGTTGATTGATCACGTCCATCCCAGCTTTTCATTATTTGCTTCTGTTGAAGATTGTGTTGTTCTCTTTGTTGTTGTTTTGTTGCTTTAATTTCTGAGAGAAGGGATCTAATGGGCCCAGCTCATTTTTTTTTTTTTTTTTTCATGCAAGGTGGTATCAGTTGGTAGTTGGCCTATGGTGTACCTGGCTTTTGGCCAAATGCTTGTGCGTGGCCGCCACTGGCCAGGAAGGAACTGGAGTCACATAGTACTCATTTTGGCCTGGGACATCAGGGACACAAAGATGAATTAGCTGAAGTGAAATAAGGCAGAGAAAGACAAACACTGCATGGTGTCACGTGAAATCTAACAGAATTTAAAAAGTCAAACTCCTAGAAACAGAATAGTAATTGCCAGGGACTGGAAGGTGGGGAAATACAGAAATGTTGGTAAAACAACATACACTTTCAGCTATGAGTAAGTCTGAGGAGCTAATGTAAAACATGATATAGCTGATAACACTATTATTGTAAGACTGAGATTTGCTAAAAGAGTAGAACTTAAATGTTTTCATCAAAGGGGAAAAAAAGATAAACCAGTGAGGTAATGGATGTGTTAATTAGCTAGATGGTTGAACCCTTTTATGTATATGTACACTAAGTCACCACGACGTGCACTTCAAATATCACACAATTTTATGTGTCAGTTATACTTCAATAAAGCTGGAAAAAAAAAGATGAATTAGCAACTAACAGGATGACTACAACCAAAAAGACTGGTGGTTTGGTGAGGACTTGGTGCATTGCTCCAAATTTCATAGATTGCTGGAATAAGGGAAAGTTTGTGTCACTGCATAGAACACTATTGAGCAATGTTTACAAAAGCTGGTCCCATGTATCCCCTGTGCCCCAGAAGCCCCACCCCCACCCTGTAACTGCCCAACAGGAACAAGTGGTTTTTTCCATGGCAGACACAGACAAGAATCCTAGCAGCACTACTTGTAAGGGTTCCAAGGTAGAAACTCTCTAGAGTTCATTCACAAGGAAATGGATAAACAAGTTCGGCGATTTCATACAAAACAATGTGTTATTGTTGCACATAACAGTATGGATAAACTTCAATACATTATGCCGTGTGAGAGAGGCCATATTCAAAAGAGTGTGTGCCACATGCTTTCATTGATATGATATTCAAGAACAGTCAATACCAATCTATGGTAAAAAGACGTCAGAATACTGCTGCTCTTATGGGACGATATTAACTGGGAGGGGGCTTGGGAGACCCTTCTGGGGTGTTGGAAATGGTTTATCTCTTGATTTAGGTGGTGGCTACCCAGATGTAAACATTCGTAAAAAATTCTTTAAACTATACACTTAAGATATGGACACGTTACTATATGTAAGTTAAACCTCAATAAAAAGTAAATTACAAAAAAAAAAAAAGGAAGAATGAAGTATGATCATTGCCCCCAAGAAGTTTATAATCCACTAGTGGGTGGTAAGGAGCGACTGACATAGAAAACACAATGTGGTTGAGAAAGGCAAGTGCTAAATACAATATTTATAAAGTGCCACAGGACCTCAAAGGAAGGGGCAACTGATTTTGCTGGGAGAAAAGAAAGGCAGGAATTCACAGGCAGTGAGTATCCAGTACGGGCTTTTATTTTTTTTTTTTATTTTTTTTTTTTTTTATTATTTATTTTTATTTATTTATTTATTTTATCCTCACCCGAGGATATTTTTCCATTTTTTGTACAGATAGAATGGGAGGGAGAGAGAGGAAGGGAGAGAGAGTGAGAAACATCTACGTGAAGGGACACATCGAGTGGCTGCCACCCGCACGACCAACCAGGGCCGGGGACAAACTGCAACCGAAGTACGTGCCCTTAGCGGGAACCGAACCCGGGTCTCTCCGGACCGCAGGCCGACGCTCTAACCGCTGAGCCAAACTGGCCAGGGCCAGTACGGGCTTTAAAAAAGTATCTCATTGAACCCTGTATGCTCATACCATGATTTATGAGAGAAGAAAGCTTTAGATGGGCTTTGGAGTGATACCTGAGTATTCAACACAGTGTCATAAAAATAATTATCAGGATCGTGGGACCATTTATGATAAAACCCTTTTATAAAGGGTTTCGTTTCCAGAGGCTGCTGTAACAAATTGCCACAAACTCGGCAGCCCTAACGCAACAAAAATGTATCCTCTAACAGTTTTGGAGGCCAGACACCCGAAATCTGTCAGGTTCTTGAGCAGAACCTATTCCTTGCTCCTTCCAACTTCTGGTGGCTGCCCTGGCATTCCTGGGCTTGTGGCTGCATCCTTTCAATCTCTGTCTCTGTTGTCACATTGCCTTCTCTTTTATAAGGACACTGGTGACATGGGGGTCCTCCCAGATAATCCAGGACTATCCCCTCTCAAGATCCTTAAGCTAATCACATCTGCAAGGATCCTTTTTCAGATAAGGTCCCAGTCTCAGTTTCCGGGGGTTCGATGTAGACATGGGCCTACCACAAATGGTTTAACTGAATTAATAATATATACCAGTTTACTAAAAATGAATAAGTAGGTGTTAGCCAGGCACAAGGGGAAGGGAAGGCTGTGCATGTAGAAATCCTGGAATGCGCTCCCTGAGGATTATATTCCCCTGTATAGTTGTCCTGACCTCAAACCCCTTAGTTAGAGGAGCACCACAGCCACACACACAACTTTTGTTTCAGGTGCCCTGGGGCGTAGGCTGGGATCCCCTGGAGACTAGAGCCGCCTCGCAGCCCACCATTCACAGACCTCTTCCAAAGGTCTCCAAAGGGAAAACCTTTGTAAACTGTCATATGTATCCTTAACCTTACTTTAGCTACAGTCCTTCTCTGTTGAGCTGATAAAGAGCTAAAACCCGGAGCCCCACTTCTTTCCTGGTGTCCTTGGCCCCTTCTCCAAAGAGAGCTTTTGGAAATTATTACTGCCTCAGGTCAGGAGTTGGGAACCTTTCCCAGTCATGAGCCAGTAAATATTTAAGGATTCCGGTTCGAATGGTCTCCGTCGCAACTCTTGAGATCTGCAATTGTGGCCCAAACACGGCTATAAACAATACGAAAATGAGTGGCGTGGCTGAGTTCCAATCAAGCTTTATTTATGGACACTGAAACTTTGAATTCCATAGAGTTTTCACATCATGACATATTATTCTTCTTTTGATTTTTTTCAACGATTCTTAGCTGGTTGGCTGTGCAAAAGCAGCCAATGGGCTGGATTTAGCCTGTAGGCTGGAGTTTGCCAGCCCCTGTCTTAGATAATAGCATCTTAAGATTTGAAATCCCAGAACCCCAGCATTGGAAAAATCCGCAGAGGCTACTAGCCTTAATTCCCACCATAATATCCAATTGTCATCCAATGCCTTTTTGAACTCCGGCAGCTGCGGGGAGCCCCAACCCCTGGGCCAGCTCATTCTGCCCGCAGACAGTGCTGATTGCTCGAGCTCCTCCCCACGCAGAGCGGCACCTGTCTCCAGTGAGCACATCCACAGGATGCAGTCGGAACTGTGAAGCACAATGTTAACACATCAGGTTAATTTCATGCTCTACTTGTCTTGGGCTGATATTAAAGGAAATTAAATTTTGTGCTAATCAGCCTCAACATTCAGCATGCACGACGCAAATTTGTGATTTCTGGCAAGGGTGGTTAAATCATATTTATGCTCTTTGCGTGGTGTCTGAATAACAGGGAAATACTATTACTGACAATTAAACTCCCAAGTTGACAGATGTCACCATGAGCAGACATAGCGGAATCTTGGAAGTTCTTTTTAGCCAGTTGCCGGTGAGAAGGGCATAAACCAGGGAGCCGCAGTTAATCTTCAATTTCCCCCTTTTGTGTGGATGGCTATTTTTGAACGTTTGGCCGATGCAAATATTTTTACTCTTTGCCCTGCAAATAAAAAAAATTAAAAAAAAAAAAAAAGAATTTTCTCTATTTAAGAGATAAGCAAGAAGGAATGTTTTCTTTCCTGGCCACAGAAAGAGATCTTTTGAACACCTGAGGAGGATTCTTAATTGCTGCTGCTTATTGGGCGAGAGCACTTGGGAACTGAAGGGGTGGGAGGTCTCACATTGATCCGCAGAGCTGGAGAAAGAAGGAGTGGATGAGTCAAACTAGTCCGACTCCAAGAGTGTCTTCCCCTGTGGGGAGAGAGCTTGCTCAAACCCATGGCCAGGCGTCTGGCGTTCTGTCTGTACCTTCCCTGCGATGGGTCCGTCACCAGCACAGACGCTGAGCGGACGCTGTCTCATAGGTCTTATTTCCTGGAGAAGGTGAGGGATGCCAAGCACACCAGCTCCAGATGGCTCTCTGCACAGTCCCCCATTCTTCTTCTTCACCCCCAAGGAAGCATCAGGGCAATGAAGGGAAGTCCGTAGGATCTTGGGTAAACATTTCACATAAGAGCCGCCAGGTGCGCCCAGAGACAAGCTCTTCAGGGGTAGCTGGCATGTCTCTCCTCCTAAAGAGGACTGTATTCTCCTGATTACTGAGCTGCAGGGTCAGCCCTGGGTCCCCTGTGGGGAGAGAGGGAAGGGGTGTAGGTGAGGCTTGTAGATCTCCTGTTGGTAGGGTGACCGACCAACTGGGATTGAGGCGTTTCCTGGGAGTGGGACAGTCAGGGCTCAAACCTGGACAGTCCCAGGCCAGCTGGGATGGTTGGCCACCCTACCTTCTAGGACCGGTGGGGCTAGACAGTCCTAGGCTCTGCCCGGTAAATTCTCAGTGGTCTCCAAGGAGGCTCTGGTGATTACTCCCAGGGTTTGGTGAACCCACCTCTGGCAACAACTTGGGCCTCTCGGAGCTTAATTCTGTCCCTTCCTTCTTCTTAATCATTCATGTGTCCAGTTCTCTCACAGGGGCTGAAGAATCCTCATTTGGACAGATGGATCTGGGGCAGAGAGGACCAACACGCCACACAGGCTTATTGCCTCCTCTGTGCCCTGACCCTGGGCAGACGATGCTAAATGATCCTCCTACCACTCCCTAGGGGGCCACCTTCCAAGCACCGAATTCCAGGTAAGCTGACAGAAAAGCTAAGACCTATTTACCACCTTTGGGCTAGGACATTTCTCCAGAAGTCAGTGCGACTCAAGGGACAATTATTTGTACATGGAAAGCAAAGTGCAGAAGGTAAGGTGTAGCCAGCGAAGCACCTTGGGCAGTAGGCCAAGGGGAGGAGGACTGCACAATCCAAGAGCCATGGAGGTGGGTAAGGTCAGTTGATTCAAGATGGGCCTAGGACAAAGCCCCATTTCCAGGGGCTTATTCGGTTGGCTGCTGACCCTGCACTAAGGGGCAGGTAAGCTGGTTTCAAGGTACTTGGTCAGGCTGACATCTCTACCACCTGGATTCAAAACTGTACCCTCCCTTTGCCTGGTACCCTGGCTGAGCACGTAGCCTAGGGGTAGCCGAACAAGTCCCCTGCTGCTCTCTCTCACCTGGGGGGCCCAGCCTCATGCCAGCGGGGCTCATGTGCCCAGGGCACTCCTGTGGGCATGGCCTGGGCAGGGAACCTGCCAGCTGATACTGGTACGGTCATACCGGTTGTGAATGGAGTGACAGAATTTTAACATTGGTTGATTAAAGAACTTGTGTCCTGAGGCCCTACCTCCCCTGCCTACTGCCTGGGCCGCCTGCCCTTTCACCCCAGAACCCCCAGGTCTCCCTCACCGTCCACCTATGGCAGGAGTCGTGCCTGGCACAGAGGCAGCCTTGGGCACTGCCCTGGTGGGTCTGATTTTGAATATCAGCACCTCCCGGTGTTATGGGGTGCGTGGCTGCCGTAGCCCAGCTGTAACCTCACCCTTCCTGTCTGCCCAGGGAACATGTCAGATGCCTGATAAGTATCAAGTATTTGGTATTTGTAGATGAAGCCTTTCTGACATTCATCCCTTTATTATTAGTAGCAAATAACAATATTAATGGACCCATTGTGGTGTTTTAGACATTTAATGTGTTCACTCATTGACTCCTCACAGCAACCCTATGGGGTAAGTACTATTGTTAGCCCCATTTTATAGGTGAGGAAACTGAGGCCTGGAGAGATACTCTAACTGATGTAATTTGCCTAAGGTTACGCTGAATGTGAGGAAGTGTTCAGTGGTCAGAGAGCCTCGGGGTCCTCAGAGGCCACACGAGTGTGGAAAAGTAGACCGCGGTCCTTTGCAGCAGCACGAGGAGGCCAGCGGGCCCCGGGCCAGGGCCACTGGGGTGGCCACTTGTGTGAACTGACATCCAGAGACCAGATAAGCCTGGGGACATCCCGGTGGACGAGTGGGACAGGTGATGATTGAGACCAGACACCTCTTCCCCATGCCTTGGTACCCCCACACAAAATAAGACAAAACAAACAACACAAAGGAGAAGAACTAACAAAACCCCAGACTGAATAAAATTTCACGGAATTGACAGATTAGATTTCTGCCACTCTGGTGGAAAGAAACAGAGAAGGGTATATTTCTTGTAACCATTTCATTAACCTTAACCCTAAAGTTTCCCCTCTGGGATCTGGGGGGGGGGGACTTACACTGTTACCTGCCCAGGCGTCACCCAGAAGTGAGCCCTGGGTCTCTGCTCAGATGCCGACCTATCCTACCCTGAGACCTGGCCTGGGTCATGGGTCGAGGGTGGGCAGAGCACAGGCCATCTTGTTGGGGTCTCCCGTCCGAGTTTCCACTTTCCCTCTTCCTCCCCCTCTTACAACAGTATGTGGAACTATTTGGTCTGGGGAGTGGTTAGGAGTGGCTCAGACTGTCACATTTTCTTCCAGATCTGTCATTGGCAGCATAAACTTTACACCCTGACTCTTGTAGGACTTGAGCATCTGATGCTCAAAAGCCCAGGTCCTGTAACTCAAGAGCCTCAAAGGCTTTTGCAACCTTGAATGCCAAGGATCTGAGTCTACAGTTCGCCTCTGTTCTGCTATCATCATCCCACCAGGAGGCAACAGGCAGCTCGTGACCCAGTCCAGCCGCCCCATGGGAGTAACCAGAAATATGGGGCTACAGCAGTTGGAATTATCCCTAGGCTCACTTGTTTGCCATTCCCAGGCTCAGTAATGCTTTTAAGTCTCACTGTACTGGTACTTCATCTTTAGTAAATTTCCTAAATGAAATAGCCAATGTATTTCAAGAGCAGAAGCCCAGTGCTGCCCTGAGCAACCATGTAGCCAGGCCACCTGGAGAAGGGTGACGGGGAAACAGCAGGGGTTTGATGCACTCCCTCTCCCAGGCTGCAGGGCCCAGCTCTTGAACTCCAACCCCCCAGGACTCAAACAGGTTTTATCTTGTGCATCAACTCTGGTCAATGACTAGGATTGCATCTGTGTGAAGAAGGAGCCTGAGGCTGGATCTGTGAGCAGCAGGAAAGAAAAAAGCGATTGGGAACGTCTGCCATAGGTGTGAGGATGGAGGAAAGGGCAACCCCCTGACAGGTTCTTCCAGAACTTACTCAACTTCATTCTCTCCTGTAAATGTAGTGATGATCTCCCAAGTGGTAAAGCAAAGCCTGTGTCTTTTATGTCACAGCCTTAGATCACAGAGGCACCTGAGCCGTTAGCACCCCAAAGCAGTCAAGCCAGGCAGGGCAAGGCTGGCTCTGGGACATGCGCTACAACCCCCCAGAGCTCTTTTGATTAGTAATTTCATTTTGTTTTCTAACTGCTCAGAATTGCCTTTCTGTCATCATCATCTCCGTAGGAGGTGTAACCCTGTGGGCAAAGTGGGCAACTGGTTCTTCAGGCTACGGACCAACAGGGGGCAGCAGAGAGCAGAGAAGAGCCAGTTTGGCTTGCAGCCCTAGACCCAGGACAACGCTTCCAATCTTTTACTCCGGTGGAAAGTGAATCCTTGTGAACTTGGACTGTTGAGACCATTGTCCACATAAGTGGCATGGTCCAAGAGTACAGCAAGAAAGGCCAGAAGGAGGGAGACTTTCTTTGAGGTTCAGGCGGAGAGAGCCTTTGTTGGAAATAGGAGAGAAAGGGAAGAATGAGAGGCACAGTTAGCACTTACCCAGACTCTAAAAGATGCCAGGCCCCTGTGACTGCTCGTTTCATTCTCTCAAAGGCTACATGAGGGGGGTGAACCCCTGGTTTATAGATGAGAAAATGGGGGCCCAGAGTGGTTAAGTGACTTGCCCAGGATTATATGACTAAGGAGGTGCTGAGCTAAAATTTGGACTCTTGTCTGCTCAGGACTCCATGCTTTGAAGCCCTTCCAGGAAGGAGGCAGGGGGACAGATTTCTGGTCAGGATCGTGGCACTTGGTGTCAGGCACACCTGGGATCAAAATCGAGTTCTTTCACTCACTGGCCAAGTGACCTGGGGTAAGAACTTCCTGTCTTCCGGTCCTAGTTTGATCTGTAAAATGGGGGTAATGGCTCTGTCATGGGACAGTGGAGAGAATTAAGTGGTACCAAATGTAAACACAGTCTCGGGGACACAGTCAGCCCTTAGTAAATGGAAGCCAATGTAATGCCAAGTCTTCGGTCTTTAGTCGCTGGTACCTCTAAGTGTCTATGTGCCCAGGCCCGCATCTCTGTGCTCAGGACTCCCAAGACACGGGGTGTCCTTGGCACCCTGGCTGTCCTGGCACGGCCTCGTGGAAAGTATGTGGGGAATGTGGAGGCTGCTCTCCGCTCCTCCATTTCAGGGAGGCGGTGTGGGATCAGAAGGTGGGCAGCTCTAGCTTCCCCCCTGGGCCAGTCTCTAACCTCGTTCTCCTGTAAATGTCAGATGGACATTGTGAGAGGCTCAGTCCCCTCATCTCCACAGTCGGAAGTAGTACCTATCAGGGCGGGTGTGGACACTATGAATGAGCTGCTATACGGCAGTGATCAGGAGCCCAGCCAGGCTCTGGAACCAGACTGCCCGGGTTCGATTCACTCGGCCACTTTCCAGCCCTGTGGTTTTAAACAAAAAACATCACCTCTTGGTTTGAGCTTCTCTAATGAAAAGTAAAGATAATAACATTCATTTCATGATGCCATCAAATATGTTTCATCTGTAAAGTACTCAAAACATTGTGGGACGATAGGGAAACGCTCAATAAATACTAGCTCCTCTTTGGAGATGATGAGAGCACCAGGTATATATTAGGCTGCTCAAAAATTAATTTCCTTTCATTCTCCTTCCTGACTCCTTGGAGATTATAGTACCTGAGATCCCACCATTAGGTTGACCCCCTAGAGTCTGACAGTAATATGGAAATACCCTCCTTGGGGCTAACAATACCCGGTATGTTATTTAATCCAGTTATGCACCGTATGGCTGTTCTGTGGCAGGTGCCACTCTCACCAGAGATGTGAAGTTGAATGAGCTGTGATCCCTGCCTTGGGATCACAGTGTAGTGGGGATTCATTTATTGGTACACGTGTTCGCTTACACATTAGTTTAGAGCCTATCACAAGCCTGAGATGATTAGGCTAGGGAGGCACTCAGGAAGAGGCAGAGTTTTCCTTTGAGATGGTATTGAGCTGAGCCTTGAAGTCTGGACCAGAGATGGTCAAGCGTGGACATGGGAATGACTGACAGTGGGGGAGGAAAGGACATCCAAACAGCATCAAAATCAGAAAGTTCGCTACCCACATAACCTTTAAAAAACAACTCCTTAGGGAGGCTCTGCAGCCAACTAGAAAGAGAATTAGCACAAGACCTTCCACAAAGGGGAGGAGTGTACAGGACAGAGTGATGAGCGACACAACCCACAATGCATGGCTATGGGCTAATGCAGCGACCGAGACTGCAGGCTCCGGTGGGACACCGGCCTGGGTTCCAGTCCTGGCTCTTGTCCTGTGGCATTTGGGCGTGTTTGGTGCTGGTAATGGTTGCAGAGTCAGAGAGTGTCTGGCTCCTGGTCTCTTCTTTGCAACCGAGGACATGTGTGCTACCCAGAAACAGAGACATGGGAAACAAAGCACCACCTTATTAATGTTTGTACAAGTGCTTGGCACACACGGGGCTTTCTGGCAAAAGCTGAATTGTAGTCTGGCTTAGATTTAGAAGTGGAGTTT